ATAGACATTATGATAAACCACTTTACCCGAGGTATGAAATGTAGCCTCATCACTAAACAGTAACATAGACATTATGATAAACCACTTTACCCGATGTATGAAATGTAGCCTCATCACTAAACCGTAACATAGACATTATGATAAACCACTTTACCCGAGGTATGAAATGTAGCCTCATCACTAAACAGTATACCAGCTAGAAATGTATTGTCTTCATTTATGTGGTCAAGGAGATTCACCACAAATACATTGCACTATGGTCTGTCATCTGGTTGCAGTGCCTGTACCAACTGAAGTTTGTTCCTAATTATCTCTGACTTGACTTTTTTCTATTGACCTTGCACTTGCTAGTCATCTGTATATTTACATTGTTCACTGAAGCCTCGAACTTTTAATAAACTACGCTATGCTATAATGGAATAATACTCACTTAAGGTAATGAGAAAAATACAGAGGATTTGAGTAATGTTAAATCAGCGATATTACTAAAGCGTAGTACAACAATCTAAATGCATATACAACATATGACTCATACAGGGTTACTTAACAAAATTTGTCACAACGTACACTTTTAAAACAATCTTCAACACTCCTGTCCTAAAATTAAACAGTCATTAAATATTAAGTCACAAAATAAACTAAATAATAACTCTTACACTAAACAGTTGTATATCCAACAAAGGTTCTCTGTCACTGATGAATGTATCAAACAACTACGGGAATTGTTTCAGCATAGCCCAGGAAAAATCACTTTGGCATGCTTCACAAGAACTTAACATGTCATGTCATTAAAAAATTACTTCATCTGCATGCTTCAGATCTAGACTAAGTGATTGGTAGTTTAGCAGCGATGGGTGATTTAAAAGTCAGAAAGAAGTGAAGTCAGAAAATGCTAAGTTAGTGAAAGTGAAGTGAGACTGCATGATTGTTAGTTTAGCAGTAATGGACAATATTTAAAGTGAGTTTCACAGTTTAACAGAGATAAGAAGAATAAATTGTCTTATCAAAGGGTGTTCTAAAGTAACTGAACTCATCTGTGTGGACTTTGATGAAAGGAGACTATTATTTAAAGTTCAGGATACAACTGTGGTAACCCACGGGGTAATGTACATGAATCTATCCCAGCTGTGCAGTAGGAAATAGAGTAGAAAAAAATAATTTGTCTTGTCAATTGGGTTCTAAAGTAATTGAACTAGTCTGTGTGGAATTTTGACAAGAAAAGAGAATTATTTAGAGTGTTAGGCTATAGTGTAAAGAATTTTTGTACACATGTTTGACTTGTTTTGAATATATTATTTTAAAACAAGTGGATTGTGTGCTGTCTGTTTATTATTTTGATTTATCGCCAACAAGTCACAGACACCTACTGCAGAAGAATCCCAGCTCCTGGTTGCAATAACACTGCCTGTCTCCAAGAGCTTATTCATTCACTCCTGGATAGTTGGTTTTAATGATGGTTCTTTCCTTTACTGGCAACTGTAATTATGCTACACCACAGTCACTGACTTGGTCTCTGCAAGCACAGATAATGCATTGAAACTTTTCTTGTACGGTTGCCATTTTATGGGGTAACACTACTCACTGGAGTGAAAAAAAGCATGACAATAAAAACTGTTTGATTTGGGGTTACAAGATGTTAACAACTGCATGGTTGTATTCCTTTAGTTATTCAATTACTAAATTTTTAAATAGCTAGGAAAGATAATTTTGGGCCACCCTATATTTTTTCGCACCAAAATACAACTTACCACAGCAATATTATACACAAAATTTACATATAAAGCTAAACATTTTCAAATACTTTTCAATAATGTCCTAATTTAAATTAAACAATTAAAAAATAAATGGACTGATGATAAAAAATAATGAGATATCCTGGTTTTGATGTGTATCCCTTTAATCACCACTAATAAAGTAAAATACTTTAGGTATTTGGATAACATGGGAAATACCATCACAATTAATTAACCAAATAAATAGATATATTATTGTCAGTTAATAACACTAATCATTATAGTTACAAATATGAGAAATACATAAATACAGTACAAACCATTTACAGAAATAAACTCTGGAATGATTATATTGCAATGAGTTACCCTAGCCATCATTATTTCCAATTGTAATACCAATAATATTACAATAGGTTCAGCAAGCTTATGAGATTAGACCTAAATTTACACACACATACACAAACAAACTACAAATATAAATAAATCTTCATAAAGACAAAAAATTATCAAATTATTTCGAATATATTTAAACATATAAAAATACATTAACACAGTATTTTAACTTAATCAACTAAACAGGAAAATAAAGAAAAAAATATCAATGTAGGGTTAAAAAAAAAGGTTAATTTTTCAATTAAACAACTTTAATCAGTTCCAAGGTCTAAATAAAAATAAGATGGGTTTAATAAGGACCTGATAAAATCAGTTGGCTTTAATCAGGTCCTCATGAACATTCCTATTATTAGTAATTAGGCTTTAATGAAAATTATTCTAAATCAATCAGTCCTTTCTAAATGCTATTTGGCTTTATTTAGTACAAATGAAATCAATTTAACTTTAACCTATCCTCTAATGAACTTGACTTTAATCAAGTACTCATAAAAGCCGTTTGCAGTAATTAACTTCTAATGAAAGTCATTTAGCATTGATTAGTTTCTAATGCAAGCATGATATTTGTTTTTATCATCTAGTTCTCAATGACAGTCATTTGGAGTTAATAAGATTTTGGTAAATACATTCGGTTTTAATAAAACTTAGTGTTTTTCTTTTTACTAAAATATGCCCATGTTTTTTGTTTGTTTAACAAGTTGTTAATATCCAAGTAAATGAGTCACTTTAATACATACAATTTTAAAAAAGGCTGTGTAGTACTTTATATGTGACCAATATAGACTAACACTTTAATTACAGAACTAAATAAATGGTGGATAAAATATAAAACTTGTTCATTTTAAATGTCCACTGACTATATTAATTTAGAACTACAAAAATCAGTGATGTTTGCAATTCAAAGGATAGAAAATTTGCAAAAAACAACAATGAAAAATTGAAAACTAATACTTCATACATAGAGAATCAACTTGTTTGTAGTGAAAACTAGGTATATTTGACTTGAGAAGGGAAGTTTGTAGTCAACAAATTATGACATTGTTTTAAACAAATTTTTCCTATGTTTTATTTTTTCAAATATCTTTATAAAACTATGAATAAAAATGCTACCTCAAATACATAGGTTTTTCCAGGAATAAGGTTATGTATGGTTCCCATTGTTTTTGTAGGTCTGAATGTATGATGATGAACATCCTTCAATTCCTTGAACAATAATTAAAAGAGTGAAAATAAAGTTATCTTTAATAGCTGCAAAACAGATTTTATCAAGAAACTAAGTTTAGAGTTACTGAAGACTTATCTCTATGCATTTGTTATATAGATGTAACAGAATTTTAGTCAGTACATATAAAATATTTCATTTCGTTAGATAAAGTAGACATGAATAGAATACTATTGAAAATAACATTCCTCCAGTTTAGTACCAATGTCTCTGGTACTTCATGATACAATCTATATGATATTACAGCATTACTTGGCACTCAACTGTCAAACTTGATAAAATATAATATTTTCACTCCTATTTAAACAATCAAAATTGGAATAAAAATGAAAAAATAAAAACTTCATAAAGCATTTTATAACTTCACACAGTATTCAAACTGGAAATGAAAATAAATAGTATACATTTGATAAAGCATTTTTCAACTTCATATCAACATTCAAATTTAACAAAATATTGTATGCTTCTAACTCAACATTTAAGCTCTACAAAGAAGGATTTTTTTTCATACTTTATCATTGAAACTTGACATGCATTTACAATTCGAAAAATAGTTCAACTTTATTTGTTTCACAAATCTTCTACATTTGATCCTCGAAATAGCTTGGTATTTCACATTTCAAAAAAATCAGACTTAAATTAGTACTTACAATCAAAAGTTTAATAAATTTAGTTTCTGTATTTTGGAATTGTGAAATAGTGGTACAGTAGAAAATTATATAGTTAAAGCAAATCAAAGTTTGAAGGATTTTTGTTTTTTTTTTCATTTAAATTCAAACTTCTTGTTAGTTTTACTTTAAAGTGCTTTAAGTTTTCAAAGTTCAGAGTATGTTTTTGAGAAATAGAAATGTGCAGCATATATTAAATAAAAAAAAAAGGTCATAGCAGACTTCAAGACAATTTTAGTCTAAACTGTCACCCATACATTACATCGGTAAGTTGGTTTATGAACACAAAATAATGATTTTTGAAACATTTACAGTTAACCTATATAGAATAAGGTAGTAACAGCTATATTTTGTGTAAATGTTTCATGCAATTGTAAGTAATTTCCAAAAGATACATTTGGCAGGTATAAAGAAATTAGGAAAACAATGTTACTGATAATATTTCTAGAGCTTTTTACAGACATAATGTTTCTTACCCTTGAAAAGAAGTTGACCTTAAATCCTGTGAGTACCCCATTGTGGTCATTTGATGGAAGAGACCACTGAAATGTTATGGATGAGGGTCTGATATCAATGGCTTTGAACAAATGAACTTTTCCAGGAACTAAAAAATTAAAACATTTGAAAAACATATATTGTCTCTATCAATATTAGAATGTCATAAGCTTCCATGCTTCATGCAGTAAGATTCATAACACTACATACAGTAAAATTAATTATTTAAATAAGGAATTCTCAAATGATGGTAAGCATACCATTGGTGGTAAGTGGAACTAATATCAGTGGTACACGAACAAATTAATATAAAAATTATAAAATTTGTAATAAGCTCAATTTGAGCTTTCCGAGTACATATACACATTGTTCTCTTTATTCTAGACTCATGCTTCGCATGCATAGACTTGCCAGTGTGTTCTTCCCTTCAAATTGACAAAAATCACACCAGATATTTTCATTTATGCAATAAAAAACAGCCACATATTTCCCATTAATAAGTAAGTGTTATAAATATTAATTTTTGCTACTGAATTTTTCGACTTGTTTCAATTAGGCCCGGGTTTGTACTTCAAAAAAGTTTAAACAAAAAGTGGTATATGAGCCTAAAAAGTTTGAGAACCACTGATTTAAATTATAAAACAAAATATCTGATCTTCCATAAATTTATTTTTGAACATTTTTACTTTTTCCATAAGAATACAATACAGCACTAATCAAATGTCAATAACACAGTATAAACACATTTATTTAACATAATGGAATATTTTATCACATTTATTTTGTTTTGCTGTAGTTTCACATAAAACATAACATGCAATCATTTTTGTGAAAAAATTGGATTACAATTTTTTAGTATGTATGCAATATTTCATTTAGTAATTTCATTATTTACCAGAGTGTAAATTATTTGTTCACCTTAGAGCTACATGAATTCAATGACAGAGGGTTGAGTACTTTATATTGAACTAATTTTGAAGCCTCACTAAGTTTTTACATTCCATAATGACACCTCCATCATAATAGCTATCATGTCCAAACCATAGCAATCCTCACTGCATGTTTACCATAATCCACCGATTGTATGAGACAATGGTTTCCTAGAGTCCAGTTGTAAAGAAATGTATAACTGCTACATTCAATGACTTGCTTGGTATGTCTTTATTTTGACTAGCATGAATATCCTTTCATTCTCCAGCTTCTTGAGTTTATGCAACAGTTGATTGGAAAGTATGACAGGAAGCCTTATCTTGGTGAACCCCTACCCTATTGGCTTTGTTTCCACACAAAGCTAGTATTCCTGTGCAGTACAAAGGGTCCTTTCTATTCACTCTCCTGATTTCTAACTTTCTCCTGGCACAGTATCTAGTGATGATCACGAATTCATTTGAAAATGTTTCACAACATGCCATGTATTACTTTTGGGAATTATTTTTTCACTCACTTACTAGTAAATAATGACATAATACTTGTTACAGTTAAAAATATATTCCATGTACTACTTTTGGAAATTTATTTCACAGATTAACTGGTATAAAATGGCATGAGATTTGTTACAGTTATTAACATACTCATATACTTTGGTGAGTGTCACCATGTAATACCTTTATCCTAGCCAAGTACCATTCATACAGTTTTCCTATAGTTGGTCTTACTTTCCTGGATATATCTTGAAGCAACCTATGTACATGTGAATTGTGTAACTTTTCCAGATGGAGCTCCTTATTGATTATATTGCATACTGTTGCCTGAGTCATGCGGAAACTTTTGCCACTAACCTTCATTACAATATGCCACAGTTTGCATACCATGGTTTGGTATGACTTGTTGCAGGTATTTTTCTGTGTTGTCCTAGTTCCCCAAGATGACCCATATTCCTTTCATTTCCAATGCCATTAAGTATAAAAGAAAATGCTGCCTTGAAATCCTAAATTGCTGACCTGAACATATCTTTACAATCTGTGTATGAATATTTTCAGTGATCAATTTTCAGTGGCATCACACTACCTATGAAATTCCAATCAATGTCAAAATATAGTTTCGATACGCTGCTCCAACATAACTTTATATCATCTGCAGTTGTCATGTGACTTGCTGGTTTACATATTCAAAATTGTTTTAATATAATTTACTCAACCTACTGTAATATAATAAGTTCTCTATTTGAATTTGATATTAAATTTCTTTTAGGAAATGAAGTAATATTCATAATTAAATTCCAATGAAACTAAAAAATTATTTATTTTTTGTTACAATTTTCAAGCTACTGTTAAATATATTCCAATATGTCATGGGAAAGTAGTTTCTGCCTGATTATTTTCATAACGTTGATCAAAAGTTTGATAGAAACTACAAGTGTTCATTTAAAACTACTTTTACAATAATAGCTCAAGTTACATAATTTATTTATGTACAATATCTGTTATACTTACCATGTTGTATAAGTTGGTAAGAGTTGTAACCCCTTATTCTATATTGTGTAAGCCATACATGACAGCATGTTATAAGAAAAAACAAACTTCTGAAATACATTGAGTTATTCCTATACTTTCTTTAAAGTAACATCAGAAAATGATAAATTACAGCTTATAAAGAAATGGCACTGAACTATACTTAAGTTGTAAATTCTGAAGCAACAATGTAGTGTATTTATTGTTACTTAACATTATAGAAATTATTCACTTTTCCAATGAGTTATCTTGACTTATTGGAAATTCACACATGCTTTATTGAAACTCATCTAACCACACTTATCAATGCGGTAACACCATAAAAACAGGTATAATTAAATGAAGGATTAAATAATAGTGTGTAAAGATGCAATGTTATATATAATCATATGAAAAAGGTGATATATAGGAAATTAAACATGTTTAAATATTAGACAAACATCAAAATGTTTTGTAATTCTTCCTGCAGATCTATTATAATGACTTAGGCATGATTATAAACCTGTTTCTTACAAAATATATAATGATATTTAATATAGTTTGCAAACCATTCATAACATGGATATAACACAAGAAGAATGTTGAAACAATAGAACTATAGCATACATTTTCTTGCAATGCAATTTTGTGTTTTAAAATACATTTTGTTGAATATTTGGTAGTACACTGCCTCGTTTTTATGATTTGGATGAAACTGTCATGGACTGTGGGTTATTATCAACCTAAATACAGTAAACAAGTAACCTTTTAGGGTCATAAAGATCACTCTGAATGACCACTTTATTATTGCACTTGTCTTGGTCTCTTTTTTAAATGTTTGTTATGATTATAAATAATATAAAATAAAATCTATTATAAAACGACCCCAGATTTAAAAAAATTATTTTGCCTTATTATGCTCGCATAGCTTTCTTAACCTTTGGCCCCTGTATTTCAAACCCTTCTTAAATTGTATTGTATGGCTATTTTGATATCTCATGAACTTCAACATAAAGATGTTTTTCTGTTAAAACTAGTTCAAAAACTGAAAACTGTATACCATATTAGGGTAAATGATGAGAAGATACCAGTTTTATTACTTTCTTCAGTAGTAGATTCCATTTTTGATTTTGTTCTTCAGAAATAAAACTACATAGAGCAGAATATTCAAATAGAAACAGAATCTGTATGAAATTCTATTATATTTAGTATGGTTAAACATAATAAAAGTGAATTTTATAACACTGTTATTTGTATATGTGAAAATCTTTTGTACATGCCAACACCATTTCTGAATAAAATATAAACTCCTGCAATTTTGTTTTTATTGACCCCATTATTCTAAAATTGATGTCAAAATATTCCATTTTCCCTTTATTTCAGCAAGATACTGCAGTTGGATACTAACTCTGATACTGACTTTTGTTCACTCCATTTATAAATTGTGTAAAAGTTAGCAGTGACAATTCTTGCTACGAAAGAAAAACTATAAACCAGATTCTCTTCATTAACCCTTCTATCAGGTAATCTTCAAAAATAGTTTTAAAAGTGCTGTTATAAATTGTAACTGCCACAACAAAAATTAATTTGACTAAAAGCAAAATCCAATAAAAGGAATAAGAAGCAAATTACGATGTATCAAATCATCTCACCTGCAGTTTTTCATGGTAAGAAAACTTACAAACATCCATTGAATGGAAAATGTTATTAATGAAATAAATCAAACTCAAAATGCAAGTTCATTTTATGCTATGTTTTACTCTATTAAATAGAGATAATTCAATTATTAACTAAAATATTACGTTTCATAAATTCATAAAATTTTGAAAGAGCTTATTAGCCCATCAAGGATATCCCTTCCAGCTCCCATTTATAACCCCTTACTACTCATGTATTCATCCAATCTTTTTTTAACTCAGTTGAAATTTCTGCCTCCACAGCCCTTGAAGTCAGCTCATTCCAAAAGCCAACCACCCTGTTTGAAAAGTAATACTGTCTAAACTGCAGATGACTCCTACGCTGCCAAAATTTGAACTTATGACCCCTTGCCCTACTGTTTTTACTGCTAAATGCAAAAATGTTTGATGGATCTATATTATCAATACCATTAATAATCTTAAACACTTAAATCAAATCCCCCTCTGACCCTTCTCCTCTCCAGAATAAACAAGTTTAGAGATTTTAGTCTCTCCTCATAGGACAATCCCACCATCCCAGGTATCATCCTAATGGCTCATTTCTGAATCTTCTCCAACAATTCAATGTCCATCTGGAGGAAGGGAGCTCAAAACTGTACAAAGTACTCTAAATGAGACTTTTAAGTGATTCTGCAATGCATTTTTAATCCCACTCTCCAAAACCTCTCCAACTACTGATGTAAGACTAACTGGCCTATAATTGCCTGGATGATGTTTATCACCTCCTTTAAATATGGGACTAACATTAGCTAACTTCCAATCTTCTAACACTCTTCCACTACTCAATGACCTGTAAAAAATTTTTGCTAGAGGTTCACAAATAAAATCTTAAAGTTCCTTTAAAACTCTTGGATAAAATGTTTCTAAAAAGTATGGTAAAAAAAAGTGAAAAGTAAGTAAAACTAACAATTAGTAACCAAAGAAATTCATAATACATGAAACAAATTAATAGAATAGCTAGCACTTTATTTTAAGACTAGTTTCTTAAATATCTCTATCTTAATATTATAAACTATATAATATCCTGTGTATTTAATATTTCTATGTATTTTTTGTGCATTAAGAAATTTTAAAACATATCAAACATTGATGATTTACACAGTACTTATAAATATTCTGAGGTATGTCCTGAAAGTAACTTTAATAAGTACATACCTGATTCTAAAGTTTTAAGTGTCTTCGACAGTGGCAAACTTCTATGAACAGTAGAAGTACCATATCCACTGATGACAGTCACTACAAAAGTATAATTGTGATGAGGACGTAAGTGAGTATATAATATTTCTTCGACTTGCGTTATGTTTTGTTGCAAGATTCCTTTGTGATCAAGGTATTGTACTTCATAAACATCCTTATCACCAAATGGCTCATCCCAGGTTAAGATAATTTCTGTTTCAGTGATGAAAGTAGCATTGATTTGCTTAATACTCTCTGGATCTACATAGAAAATAGGCACATGTAAGATAAAAGAAAAACAATTAATCTCTCACTCACTCTTACATTTTTCTTATATCAGGTACTTTAAAACACTATTACTTTGGTCTTGTCATGAGTAGGATAATTTGGATTTTATACTGCTAGGGTTATGGGAGTATCAATTATTATTCAAACAGTTATTTATTTAAAATATGAGTTAATTTGTTTTTTAAAGTAGGGAACTATTCTATAGTATTTTTTGAAAAATATATTAAATGCAATTTTACTTCAGATCAATATTTAATGAATAATAATATTATAATAATAATAAACTATTGAAAAAGTCTAAATAAAGAAAGATATCAAACATACATAATCGAGCTTGTCTGTATATGGGCATACTAAAAACCCCACCACTCACAGTCCAAATGGTAATATTATAAAGATGGCCAGGTAAGAGGTTGTTGAAAATCACCAATCGATTTGTGTCATTATGAAATTTCTCCTGGGCTGTCACTGTCAAATCGCTAAGTTGGAAACGATACCGGTCAAATACAACGTTTCTTGTAGGTGTTGGGGTGTACTTAATCCCTAGGGTTTGGGTTTCATGTTCATCAGTAACTATGTTTATTACCGAATCTATGACAGGCACTGCACAAATGAAACATTGAAAAATCAATATCTGTGTCTACATGAATCCATGCAGGTGATAATCTACCAAACCTTTAATCAAAAGTTGTGTTGTACATTAGAAAAATGAAAACAATTCTAATGAAACTTACTTTACTCTTCATAAAACACCTTGTTACATCAATATATATTGCCCATTTTATTAGAAGAGTCAAACTGATGACATTGTAGAGTAAAATATTAATTATAGTAAAAAGAATAACTTCATATTACATTACAGCTAGCTTAAAATATTACTTCCCTTGTCTTATATTTAATAAGAAAGCTAAAATGTTAGCTTATTTTACAAATTTTAAAGCTGCAAAATCAATTTTTAATGCTGATAATGAATAATAATATGAGTTTATCTGGTATATTAATAACCTGTTAAAAGTGAAACCTGTGATATTGTAACAAACAAGTCTAGTCTTAGGCAGCTGCTAGCTTAGCCATAAATAATTGTCAGGGCTAAATTGTATTAAACAATACAGTAAAAATATAAGATAGTTTTTCTTAACAGTTCACAAAATATTTAATAGGCAAACAGGAAACACAAATAAATGCTATCATCTTTTGTGCTGGGGCTGTAGATGACATAACTTAGATTTGTTACAATATCAGGAAGGCTCATTATCTAAATCCTCATCTACATGGTTAGGCAACTAAAATGGTTATGCACATATCCTGGTGAATGACTAATAACTAGACATGTATATATGAGAATTCTGATGAAGCTTAATATAATACACATGATTCCTCACAATATTCATACAAATAATATTTGCATCAATGATCAGAGGAAACAGGTACATAAAGTATTAACCATTGTAAAAAAACAACAACACATTCTAAAGAAAATTTATAAAAAATGCTAAACTTACTTGTACGTGTTTGGATACCAATTCCTTTACTCCTTAGGTTGTTACTGACAGCAAAGAAATTAAAGGAATATAATTCTCCTGGTTTCAGTTTTCCAACAATCACACTCACTATTTCTCCTTGTCTTGTGTCATTAACGGGAACCTGTGCAGAGAAAATTCTTGTCAGGAAACTTCCATTCTATTTAACATCAATGAGAACTTAAAATAGTATTACAATGCATTACAGAGTGAAGAAACTTAAAATTTAAGATTAAACAAATATACTTCTCATACAATTTTCATTGATTATTATTACATTAAAGTAACTATGTATACAGATTTATGTTTTTGCACTTTATTCACATGTCAAAACACTAAACATAAATTTATAAGTATCAAAAAGTGTTTTTCTGATCCATGGCCCAATAGGTAAAACAAACTGTTAACTATAATTTGTGATACTTAAAGTTACTTCACTTGGACTAGACCCCCAATGGAACAGCAGTATGTCTGTGTACTTACAATGCTAGAAACCGGGTTTCGATACCCATGGTGGGCAAAGCACAGATAGACAACTGTGTTGCTTTGTTCTTAACTTTAAACAACAACATCACTTAGACTGTCTGGTATAAAATTTGGTTTACATAAAAAAGTAAACCAATACATTTTCCTTAAACACAGTATAATAACAAACATACCTTATACAGGATGTGTCCTATTTATGGCCTTAAGTTTATATTGTAGACCAAGAGGACATACCATGTTTGTTAGTTTTAAACTCATTAGTTTTAATTTTGTTTGCCTACACTCACATTGGGAATATCTCTATAACTTCTATATAATTAGACCACATGCTGTCAAGTTCATACTGTGTTAGCTAAACATTTTACAACTTAAGAGTTTATGAGTGAAATATATTCATCTTAAAGGTTATGAACATCAACATTTTATTAGGACTACTATTTTGTTTTAGTGGTTTTATCAGGCATAACATTTGGGCGTCAGTCAAAACTACCAACTGTGAATATATAATAACTATAAATATTATACTTTAATACACAGTGTCTAAAAGATGAAATTCTTGACACAAAGAAATATTTGTATATAATTCAACACGAGGTACCTTCAACTGGTGCTAGGCTATTACAGCTTCAAAAGATTTTCTTACTTGTTGTGAATGTTGAGCTAATGGTTTCTGAACTGTATTATAAACTATAACGTAGTAATCTACTTTTCCCTGTGGAGCGATCCATTGAAAAGTTACATTGTAGGAGTCCAAAATTGGACGAACGCGCCTGATTGAATTAGGATCTGGAAAACAGAGAACACAAATATCTAGATAATGCTTAATACTATAACCTTAAAATCAATTTTCAAAAATGTTAACATGTTGTAAATTGCAATTACTATACCAATATGTAAACAAACTGAAATAACCAGAAAAAAATGGCTTCCCAGTAAACTTAATGGCTTATAGTACCAAAATCAGTGGCTGATCCCTGTGGTGGGCACAGCAGAGATAGCCCATACATATACACATATAGACAGATATGGCACATAAAACTTAAGTATCTCAAAATTATCACCCCCTGAGGAATCATTGTAACAAGACTAAATGTATTCCCATTTGTAATACTCACCCGTTCAGAGATATCCTACAGTAACAAGTTTAAGTTTAGAGGTGGTCCAGTAGTGTCTTTACATGCTACATATATAACACAGATGTTTTCTAAATACACAGCATGTATAGATGAATGTTTGTACACACTTATGAGATTATTGACATTATTAATGAAACTTTAAGTCCAATAAAACCTCACTATATAACTTAATTTTGCCATGTAATACTTTTTAACACCTGTATGCTATTTCAATTGCATTGCAATTACTATGTGTTATGGGAGAATATTATTCAAACATTGCAAATTCAAAAAAGAAAAGGTTCAAATTACAATATTTTTCACATATCTTTCATAGCACTGTACTTATGATATAGAAGTATTGCTCAAGGGAATTTGAAACATCTAACGGTCAAGTTAAATAGATAGTTCTACACTAGGAATACACTAACTTCATTAAAAAGGTTACATTACAACATTCTAACAGACACTACTGACAGCAACTTTCTCTTTCATATTTGTGGCTAGCATTCAGTGATCATTGTATGTATATTACTTAAACTGAAAAATAGAAAAAATTTACTTACACATTGATTGTTCTATTTCCTTAATTTTTTTGCTTTCTACATGATTGCTGACAGAAGTTACCCTAACACTATATCGTTCACCGGCAACTAGATTATGTATTTCAGAAGAAGTAGTATTTACAATTCCTGAAATTATAAAAAATTAAACATTTAATTGAAAAACCATATATAATATCACAAACAATAACCAAAGTCATAAATCTCTAGCTTATTCCATAATGTTTTTACTTTGAAATGTAAGTTATGCATAAACTTTTCATACATAGAATTAAAACAGCAAATCAGGTATTCTCTTGAAAACTATCTCTCTCTCTCTCTCTCCATATGATAATAAATATAGACTCACAAAACCACAAAAAAGTGATCACATACTCTTTACTTACATAATTTCTAGCTTTCCCATACTCAATGTTTTCCAATTATCACCAGCTTTTTTATTCAAGCCTTTGCCTTGTACTTGGAAATTTATTTTAAATCATCTATTTCAACTGGGTACAGATAAGTTACAACAAATGTATGGTTCTAGTTTTCATTGTTAAGTATTAATCAGAGAGAGATTGTAATTGAGAATGTTTACCACTGTTACAACCAATATAAAAAAGAACAGAAAATGCTATTAAGAAAACTGTAGCCGACAGTATTAAATACTTCTGTTTAAATCGATTGTTAACAGGGAATACCAAATTCTAATTTTTCTATGCTAGAAACAAGAAAACTGAAACAATAATCAGTAAAAGCCCAGTCATACACACTACAAACACAACATATTGTGTACACATGGTAATCATAAGCATAAAGGGTATAGCTTGAGATTTATGGCAAATTTTGAATTTATGACATAAGATAATAACATGTAATGTTTGGATTAGAAATCAAAAAGTATGATAAAAAATACAGATTTCAAAGAAAAAATAAAACAGCAGGGAAAAATAAGAATAGTGGAAATCTCAAATACAATTAAATAACAGTTACTTGACACATTACAAATTGTAAAAATACTTTTTACAAATGCAGGTCTCTGTACTATATTTGTAAACTTATTTGAATGGTCCTCTAGAGAAAACAAATATAATTAGCATCACTACTCATTCAAGCTTTTAGGTATATTATTTATCTCTTTAAGTAAGTGTTTTTATTAGCACACAAGTTTCTACATGATACATACAATAAGATCTGTTTTCTTTTCATTATTAACAACTTCGATTTCAATAATATACACTCTAAAGATATGTTTTACAGTTTATATTAATTTCCCATAACTTTTTTTTTAATCACATAAGAAAATGCTTCTTATTGTTTAAAGGAAAGTTAAGATTAACTATTTTGCACAAAGAAAATTATAAAAAGCAGCTGAGCCTTAATGTTTTCTTCAAAACACATACCATTTAACTATTGAAAATTCACATTAGCACAATGGAAATTGCTACTAATTTCACCTTTCATAGCTAGCGTACAGTATACCTTGACTTAGATAATTTTTCAAAACTTGCATGCAGAGGTTCTGCATGTTGTTATGGTATCCTTGTGAAAAAAATGTAAGTAGGTTGTAAGCATGCACCAATCCTTTTACTTATGTAAAGGTTAGATGCTACAATGGCTATTGCATAGAAGCTTGTACCTGCTTGACCCTGTGTTTGTGTCTACTCCCTGGAAAGGAATAAGCCCATTTTAAGGAGTGAAACAAATACTGGAGTAAGTTACTATGAGGTGGGAAGTTATTTTTTTTGTATGTGTTATTTGGAACAGTCACTGGCAGAGGCAACCTAAGAATTGTGGGATACCACACTGGGGCTATGGTCTGACTTGAAAGAATATTAAGACACAGTATTCTATGCTTCATCCTTGTCCTGTGTGTACACGTTTAGGAAGCCTTATCTTCACACCAGGAACCAGTTTAAATTCTAACAAATGCAGAATCTGGCTTATAAGTAAAAAACACTGTTAGTGAATAAGGACATTGTTTTATTTGTTAGCTTATGTATTAATTTCTTTTGATATTCACATTCATTTTAATCCTTTACTTAAAATTTCTGGAACATGCATTTTGCAGATATTTGACATTTTTGTAGTCGATATCAACATACCTAAATACTAAATGTCATTTTCTAGAGTTATTATTTTCTTATATTTCCAATAGGTACTTTCCTCAACTAGCATATATAGCTATTCTCGTTCAGTGCTGCCCTCTATATGCAAAATGTTTTCTGCATGCCACAAGTTTTCAACTCTCACATATCCCATGATCAACATGGTTCAATTGTGTCTCTCATGTAAATCATCATGAGACAGCCCTCCATCAATACAAGTGTGACACACCATCCTGATGCATGTGACTTCCTCTATTTGATTCTACCAAACTATAACTTCGAGATTAGGCAGAAATGAAAGCACTGGTTTTTAGTGGGGAGGAAGGGTAAGAAGTGTGAGAATAAGTAAGTACCTATCGGAAATTTATTTTCAGTATAGGAAAATAACAACTTCTGATACAGTACATTACCTCCTTTCACATGTATAGCTAGAATTCCACATTGAATAAGCAGAGGGACCAGTGCGAGAGATATAAATAAGTATCCTTCGAAAATGTTCAAAGAACACCCATGAAGTGTGATCCCCGTTTAGAGAGAAACACACATGGGAGACTGCACCATTTCTGTAGAATGTATACTCTGTGCTCAGTGTGGAAATAACTGTCGCTTACACGGGCAGAAAGTGGGAGGAGAAGAACCAAAAAGGGAGAAAAATCCATTTGGAACAGAATCCAAACCACAGTATACCAGAAGTTCAATCCTGTAGAAGAACCATCTACAGACAAGAATGTGGGAAAAGTTAAAATGGATGAGTTCCAAGGTATAGAGAGGCTAGGGTGTGATGGACCATACACGGCCGGTCAACTCCAATCCAAAACCAAACAATATCAGGAATATAAGCTCCGACCTGTGATAGGAGGGGGGGTTCCACACTGTCTTTATCTCAAGTTAAGTACGATGGAAGGATATACTGTGCAAATCAAACTATAAAAATAGCACATGTATTCAAATCCACAGCCAACCTCACATCCAGGAAACCGACATTTGAATGATGGTAAGAAGAGATGTGTCAATGTGGCAGGTCAGATCAGATGGGCACCCCACTGTGCAACATCAGCTTCAGGCAGTGAAAATACCTTGAGGTGGAGCAAGAGAGGAAGAACTGTCACCCCAATGAACATTATCCTCCAGATAGGACTGCATAGAAGCTGGAGTGGAATGCCACCCTCCGGGTTAGTAAGGTCTGGAATGGGCATATTAATGAAGCAACTATATTGAGAGGAAAAACCAACTTGCAATCTTCTGGAACGTCCCATCTCAACAGTGGGCATTACTGGCCATGGGTATATATTGTGGCCATACAGTGCGGATTTGAGATATAGGAAGCATATCTGGACAGGCAATGCTTGCCACTGAGAGGGATCTGAATCCTAAATGGGACATGATCTGGTTGGGAAAAATATATACAGAAAATAAAGCTTAGCCAGTTATGGCTGCATTAAAGAGTGAATGATGGCAACAGTAGGAAAGCGATACTCAAACGAGGAAGAAACAGCTACCAACTGAAGATGGTTGGAGATGAATGTATGAGGTGGAAGCCACATGCCTGACTGAAGTGCTTCCTCCAATGAATGACAAAGGTGAGACTCCAGGAAAAAAGGG